ATTCAGTGGTTTGACGCAGGAAAGGATCAGCATAGATTTGTGCCATTGCTGTAAAAAAAGAGTCCACCAAAGTTAGAACCGGATCATGTTTCTCACAAAGGTGGTGTGCCCAGGATTGCGGTTCATTCCTAAGAAGTGTGATGATGAATCCCACTTTGGTGCTTGGTGATGTAAAGGTCCTTGGAAGCAGCGAAAAATATAGCTCGCAGGAGTTACGAAAAGTTCTGAACTTCCTGCGGACTCCTGTAAAAAACTCAGGTGTAGGCATCCAGGGTTCCGGTAGGGAAGGGGTTCCAAAGATCACAATGGGCTCTGTTTGAGTGGTTGCATCTAAGGCTGCAGTGAGATCCGTGTCTGTGGGGTCATTAGACTTAGTTAGCAGTTGACTCTCCAGATGCTCAAAGTTTCTCTACAAATCTTGCACCAAGTTAAACAAGGCAGATACTGATTGGCAAATGTCCCCCAATGGAGAGGCCTCCCTTTCAGACTCCATCATTGGCTGACTGGTACTGTCACGTACCTGATGGGAGACTGAAATGACGAGGTCGGCCTCACTTGTGTCACTAGCCCTGACCCCGCTGGAGTTTGAACAGAGGGAGTCTAGGACCCAGGGGAACAAGAGCGCCAGTAGTTGTTGTTTGCAGCTCTTACAGATGATGACCTTGGAAGGCTGATGATCCTCTGATTTTGGCACAGTAGTAGTAGGCAGAGCAGGTTTTGTAGATTGCCAGGCGTGCACCAGAGCAAGGCAGGTAGTGAGGACAAGAGACAGGAGCAGTGTCATGGAATAGCCAGGGTCATCAACAGTCGGGCAGCACGGTACAGAATCAGAAGGAAAAGCCAAGGTCAGGAGCAGAGCCGAAGTCAGGAACCAGTATCAATCAGGAGAGCAATCAGAGTCAGGTGAAAAACAAGCCGGGTCAGCAACAAAGGAATCACACAGGAACAATCAGGACACGGGGGAGCTGAAGACCAGTCAGCACTGAACATGAGCAGAGACACGCCTTATATAGGCCGTCTGGCGCCAATCTTCGCCATGCGTGTGCGCGATCGCGCATTTCTGCTTGCATGCGCACAACCGGCAATTCTCCTGCGGGAATTCCTATGCGCATGAGCATTTCCGATCGCGATTCGTCTGGCCGGAAATCCTTACAGGTTCACTCAGTAGTTGCTCTGAAATAGCCTATCCTTTTTCGAATCGATCCGTTAATTCTCTTTGGCTTCCTGTTTGGCTGATGGCTGGTATGCTTACTATTCCCCCAGCCACAGGTCTTGGCACACCCCTTCTGTGGTTCCTTCTCCAGGAAGCAGTGATGTAATTCAGCCTCACTTGCAGTGGTGGGCGGACCAAAACTCCCAGACACATTCAACATGTACAGGCTTAGTATATGCGCTCACATTCCCTGTGGTTGATGGGAACTGTAGTTTTCTTTTACTGCAGAGAGACAGGAGAGGATATGATGTAATACCTGCTGTTATACCTACTCCTTGGCAGGGCAGATGCTGTTATCCTTTGAATTACAGAGATGAGGTCATGAAAATTTAATTAGACTTTTCTTCTAAATGGTAAGGATTTTCAACATTTTATTAACTGTTTAGTGGTTTGTGTGGGGGGTGCAGTAATGGGTGTTTTTTTGCCTATCCGGAGTTCTTCTTTAAATAAAATCAAGGCATTCTGTGAATGTGTCAGTGCTGTGTGAGATACTAGCTTTATGGAACATCTGAAAAAGATAAGGCCATTACAGTATGCAAGATATCTTCTCTGGTCAAATTTAAGGCTATTACATGAGCCATAGTGATATCAGCATGATGTACCACGTATTTACTGTTGGATGACCCAGAATAAATACTATTTGAACTGAGATGAATAAGGGAGAAATATATTCAAACGCTAAAGCAATTTTTTAGTGAACATCAGTATTGAGCATAGATATTGGCCTGCGATTCTTGCTCTGTAAGGCTCCATGCACACTAGAGGTTTTTAAGCTCCTAGAAGCCGTTATTAGCATTTTTCTTTCTGCTCCTAGAAGCTAAATAGTGGTATCGTATGTGTACATGCACACTACTTTAGGCTATTAGCTTTTTTTCTTTGAGCTTCAGCTTCTAGGAGCAGAAAAAAAAAATGTTTTTGTAGTCTTTTGGAGCATTTTTCCAGCAGAAAAAAAAATACTAAACGCTACTAAAACAACTTTTTTCTAGCTTTTTTCTACATGTACTGTAAAAAAAGCTACCGCTCGTAGATGCTTCTAAACGCTACTAAAAAACCACTATTTAAATAAATAAAAAACAATGTGCGCTATCAAATTAGTGAATAAGCTAAGTCGCTGCAATAACACTTAAAAGGTGATCCCACACTTAAAACATAAAGCATACATAGTGTTGCGCTAACTCATATAAACATAATAGTCCATAAACAGATTCAAACGTGATGGTTCAATCAAAATATGAAATATAAATATAAAGTGCTTGAATGGTGAAAATCAAATAAGGTGCTTGAATGGTGAAGAATCACTATGATGTGCTCTGGATAAATAAAGTCTAATTGAAAAACACATTGTTCCTCCACCTAAAAATATACAGTATATGGATGTCTGCTCACCTCCTACTGTGGACCCATAAATTAATACAGCTCAACCAAGCATGGTAATTCCAAAAAGATGCTCTAGATGAAAGCAGAGAGCTGATGACAGGCACTCCTTCAATGACAGTATAAATAGGACACTTCTCAGCTTAACTCCACATATACAGTAGAAAGAACAGAGTACATCTCCCATAGTGTAATACTGTTTTAATTCCACATAAAATAATTCCAGTGTCACTCACATGATAGAAGCAGTAACATAGCGATTTGCAATTCAAAACTCCAGCTCCGTAAAAAGCCGGCAATTATGTCACTAAGCTCCACCCCCAAGCGTCATGGGAAAGCCTAAAAAAAAATGCTAGTGTGCATGGAGCTTAAAAGCCCTATACACGTGAGCTATCTGAGGTAGCAGCAGGGGCGGACTGACAACTCATGGGCCCCCCGGGCAATAGGGGATCATGGAGCCCCTGTGTCCTTGCCCAAACTCAAAAAAGCCTATGAAAAAGGTACCAGGGGCATCTCATGGGGCCCCCTACTGACCCCGGGCCCTCGGGCAGTGCCCGAGTTTCCAAATGGTCAGTCCGCCCCTGGGTAGCAGAACCCTTCAGAATCTTTCAGATATAAAAAAAAATACGGAAATAGAACATTAGTAAGTTTAGAAAATAATCTTTTTTTTTTTTTTACAGTTGCAAACCTGAGCAAGGTAAAGTGTTATTTTTAACATATTTATTAGTTTGAAGACTGAATTCTTTGGAAATAGGATTAATTAAATTCACTAGCAGTTCTAAGGTCAGAGATGGGAGGTTACAGTGTGCAAGAACCTGCCAATATTCATTGTTAGAAGCACTGCAGGATTGATTGTTCCGAGAGGAGTAATACGACAGATTTACAATGTCTTTAGGGTTGGAGCAAGGTTGACCTTGTTTATCTGTAAGAATGTGAATAAGAATGCCTCTTGTAAGCCCACTGGGTCTTACCTTCTAGGTAAAAGCCCTTTTTAGTACAGATTACCTTTTCAGCATCTGTCAATTGGAAGTTTAGAATTTTCTGTTGGTTCTCATAAATCTTCACTTTGTGAGAATCAGTGTGTTGTAATAACTAAGTCCAAGCCAACTTGGCCAAGAGATGTGTGGTAGAAGGTTATTGAGCTTGTAGTCCTTTTTTTCTTACCACAGTAAAAGGAAATGCAATAACCCCTAATGGGTACTTTAAAGGCTTGCCATAAGAAGAGGCAGAATATCTATTTGAATGTGTATTAAAAAATATTCCTGTATGTATTAAGCAGTTTTTTTACACAAATCTTGGAAAATAAACAGAGAACATTGAGTGTCTTTTAGCAAGACAGTGCGCACTTTCAGCTTCTTATTACATTTAAAATGTATTTAGTTTTGTATAGGGTGGGAAGGATTAGAACCCCTGTCATGTATTACTGCTGCTTGGAGATCTATCAGAGAGACTTCCTCTCTGTTCCTGTACCGGGAACAGCTTTTTTTATATGACAAGAAGTGAGGACAACTCTCCAACAGTAGCAAAGACAAAAGTAAATATACTTTTTTTTTAGGTTAAGTAAAGGAAGCAAGCTAGAACTCCTTTAAACCTTTTATTGTTGTCTGTTCCCATGTTACAGATTTCCCCTCGCTTCCTCTCTTGTAAAAAAAAAAAAAAAAAAATCATATATACAGTAAACAATGGTGAACAAAAGCAAAACAGAGCGCACTAACATATTTGTGCATTAACGTAGTAAACCAAGAATTTATTATGAAGCATAAAAATGCATACTTACAAACCAAAAGGGGATAAAAACAGACAAGAAGAGTCCATACTGACAGTCCAAAGTGACAGTAGTCCCTTAGGCTAACGTGTTTCGGGAGACAAACTCCCTTCATCAGAGCTCTGATGAAGGGTGTTCGTCTCCCGAAACATGTTAGCCTACCTCACTAAGGGTCTACCATCACTTTGGACTGTCATTATGGACTCTTCTTGTCTGTTTTTATCTCCCTTTGGTTTGTGAGTATGCATTTTAATGCTTCATAATAAATTCTTGGTTTACTACGTTAATGTACGAAGAGAGTGCGCCCTGTTTTGCTTTTGTTCACCAGTATCAAGATTTCTCAATCTTTAAGGGCTGCACCTCTATGAATGACAGTTTCAGTTATCCTAGTCTGCATGAAGATTTGAGTGCTGGTTTCGTTTGTTCATACAGTATGCAATATTCACAGGAGAAGTTAAAGTTACAAAAACCCTAACAGTAAAATCAGTGTGTATATGCAGTAAAGCAGGGGTCCTCAAACTTTTTAAACAGGGGGCCAGTTCACTGTCCCTCAGACCGTTGGAGGGCCGGACTATAGTTTAAAAAAAAAAAACTATGAACAAATGCGGACATAGTACAGGAGATGACCAGAGACTGCGGACATAGTACAGGAGATGACCAGAGACTGCGGACACAGTACGGGAGATGACCAGAGACTGCGGACATAGTACAGGAGATGACCAGAGACTGCGGACACAGTACAGGGGATGACCAGAGACTGCGGACATAGTACGGGAGATGGGCCAGAGACTGCGGACACAGTACAGGAGATGACAGGAGACTGCGGACATAGTACAGGAGATGACCAGAGACTGCGGACACAGTACAGGAGATGACTAGAGACTGCGGACATACAACGGCGGCAGGAATACTGGGCCGGCCGCTCCATAAGACGCACAGACATTTCCCCCCAAGTGTGTCTTATGGAGCGAAATATACGGTAAATTAAGGACACCTTGTTGGGTCAGATCTGTGTACATTGTAAAGAGAGGGGGGGGGGGGAGATAAGGGGGGAGAGAGAGAGAGGAGGGGGGAGAGAGAGGGAGAGAGGAGAGGGAGAGAGAGGAGAGGAGAGGGGAGGAAGAGGGAGAGAGGGGGGAAGGAGAGAGGGAGGAGATCGATCATCTATTGCACTTATCTAGGGTCCGTGGCCGTGATACCTGACATGCAGCGATGGAGTTTCCTCTCTTGCTCCCCCTCTTCATGGTCAGCTCTAGGCTCCGCCCTCCGGCTGTGACGGTTGCATGCACTGATCAGAATAGATGGCCGACTGGCTGCAGAGAGGCCAGGTGAGTGGTGCGGGTTCATAAGCCGAGCCCACCTTCTAGAATTGCTGATCCCGCCCTCCTGCGTCCCGCCCGAGCTCTGCTGGATAAATGTCCTCGGCGGGCCGCATGTGGCCCGCGGGCCGTAGTTTGAGGACCCCTGCAGTAAAGCATACTTGATATACTTACTGTGGAACCTAAGGGGTAATTCTCTGGATTGTGTAAAAAGGCTGTTTGATACTGTTCCACCCTTATTTTACTGTCCCCAATCCTTCTTCCATAGTACAGAGCAGCAGCACACCAAACAGAGCAAGTCTGCACATGCTCTGTTTGGTGTGCATTGCTAGAGAGGGTTTTTTTGGGGGGAAGGGTGCATGTGATCAGCATAGGGCCAACAGCGCTCTCCAGACAGAGGGTCAGGGGTCATGCAGCCTCATAGGACAGTCAGAGGAGAATGAATACTCCTCTTGCAAGATTAACCAGTGCTCGGCCGGACACTGATAGAAGTCACAAGACTTCTATATACTGCTGATGAGAAAAGGTATTTAGCAGTTTATATGTGCTAAAATAATTGCATTTCCATGTTGTGTGTACTGTAGGAGACCAGATATAGTGAATGCAGGGTCATGGGTTTAGTAACACTTTAAGAGAGGAACGTCTTTCACTGTTGGTAGGGGGTGTAGAATATGATCCACTGTTATTCTCCAGCAAAGATCTCATTAGGGCTGATCATTCTTGTGTTGGGAAAGTGGGCATGATTGGGCCATCAACTTTGAGTGAGAAACTTCCTCCCATGTGTGGACCATGTGGGTTAAACCATTTTTTGGAAATACCAGTTCAAGGCTTATTTCCATTTTCAGCAAATTTGGAGCAGCACAGCCTTTACTTTTAGGTCTGAGGTATGTTGTGGTAACTTGCTCTGTAGCGCAACACACATTATGTCTACTTGCATGTTGCATGTTGCCACCACAATGCACTAAAGCAATGCAGGTCCAATGCAGAAGCATTGCAGTGTACCACAATGCACAGTAATGCACTACCTTGTGTTTGGGTGCTCTGCATTGCCAACAAGGTCCATATCTGTTTTCTAGGATATTTTGGTGCATTGCAACCAAAACCCTATTCATTTAAAAAAGGGTCCCTGAATGCAAAGCACCTTAAAGTAGTTGAACCTTTACTTATACCCAGCGATGTGACTAACCTAAGGTGATGCACAGAGATTAAACAAATCCTCCTGCGTAAGTTGTACCTGTTTTATCTGCAGCATTTCTTCTTTAGCTCCTTCTAAAAAAATCACACAGATCAAAGGATTTTTGCTCAGTGCTAGCAGTGGTGGGGTTGAATCTGACGTTATACACACGCAGTGTTTCTCAAACTCTTTTCAGTCAAGGCACCATTTAAAACTATGCACACTCTCAAGGCACCCCACTCTAAAAAATGTAAAGAAACTAAACCAAGTTTAACATAATGCAGCAACATCCACACACATAGGACACTCAACGTTAGAGGTGATTTGTTCTTCTAAGGTAAATACACTTTGCATGCAGATACTGGCTAGTATTCCAGTATTTCTATTCTCCCCTTCAGTTTCTTTCCCTCACTCAACTAATGTGACCCCAGTGCTAATGGAAAGGGACAGAGGAGAGGCAAACAATGATGCTGTGCAGGTGCCAGATGCTGTCTTTATCAACTGAAGACTGTGGCTTTATGTAGCTTTTAGTTGGTGACTTGATCCACCAACTGGCTTGCATACAGTTTTGGGGCAATTTTTAGACATTTTGCCAAGGCACACCCTAAAGAAATCTGAATGCACCCTGGTTAAAAAGGCTGGCATAAAGCACGGGGTTCGCTAAGAGCTGTTTTGAGGAAATGAACACACTCCCTCTACACAGACTTACAGGCTAATAGAAAAATACATAAAGCTAAGGCTATGCACCGCGATGTGTTGAAATGGGGTGGGCCCCATAGATAGGAGAGAGAGGAGAGATCAGAGAGGAACTACACTCAGTGCTTCAGATTCACGCTAGTATAAAAAGATGTGCTTTGTTCATTTTTCATTGGGTAGGAAAACCTCCCAGATGCTTGACTGAATCAGGGATGTATTTAAAACTCATATCCATTTTTTTCAAAATTTTTCCTTTTTTTTAATTTTTATAATTATATGCATAACTTTTTTTTTTTTCAGGGGCCAGAGCTCATGAATAAATATGTTGGGGAATCTGAAAGGGCAGTACGAGAGGTAAGTAAACACTGTTATAATGTTGTTGCAGTGGACTCATGGTTTGATTGGCAATCATTTATGTTATCGTTTCTGTTATCTCTGGAGTTTAGCCCTCATATACATAATTCCACCTGTGTATGCTGAAAGCAATCTTTCAGCTATATCTACTAACATTGCAGGTAATTATCTGACATTAGATGAATCTTTTGGGATACATGGACAGAATCCAAAACATCTATGGGGGGTGGTGCCATGGGGGTTTCCATTATTATACGGACACTTGAGATACTGTACATAACAATAACTTAATAGGTTTAACATGGTAACCAACCTGATGTTATCTTTCAACGTCTAGATTGTAGTTCATGACAACTAAAAATGTTGATGCAGGATTCACCATTGTATTTTAATAATGCCTTCTTCGGACCTTCCCCATCTCTATAAGTAAGCCCAAAAGGGTGAAACATGTCAGAGAGAAGCTTTCTTCTGGCAGGGATGAGCTGTGTTGCTTGTATGGCTGAAAAAAAAGTCTGTCACTGAAATTGGTTGTTATTAGCAATACCTTTTGATTTTTGTTTGCATTTTTATATTTTAATATACTTAGTTTTACCTGTTGTTCAGTCATCAATATATTCAGTCTTGTGTGTCATTCACCTTTAGGTGCAGTTACATATGTGCATTGCTACGCCTCCCTGAGTGCCAAAAAAACCTCTCACTTATCATACAAACTATTTTTTTTTTTTTTGTGAAAGAGCTGATGATTATAAAGTGCAAATGCATGAATAGCATCAAATCAACAAATCCCCACATGTGCCATTATCTGAATCACATTTAAAAATGATGACAAGTTAAGTGCTCATACTATAGTGCATACTGTATATCTCTTAAGAAAAAACATCCATAAATACATGCAATAATTATATATTTCTAATAAAGTACATATGTTCTTTCAAACTTATGCATATGTGCATAATCCTCCACCATTCAAGTCTGCGCTCACCTCCACTATGTGACCTGACCTCTTACAGGTCAGTATGTTTATTTCCTTATAATTGGAATCCTAAAGGCAATCTCTCTCATGTATGGTCCCTCTCCCATCTGACGGTTCAAATGGATCCTTCTGTGGTGTATGTGACTGACCCTTTAAGTTAGCGATCTCTGGTCTAGGGTAAAAACTCACACAAAAGAGGGGGCCCCCATGGTGTAGTACATAAAATAATCACATTTATTGAATAAAAAAAATGCACTTACAAACTGTTAAAAAGATAATTTGCATGACTGTGAGTCGCAGAGCTGGCACTTCTGGTCCCAAGTTCCCTGCTACCCGGCTCTGCCTACACGCGTATCGTCATGGACACATGACTAACTCAGTAGTAATTGAGAGAAAAAAAAGACTAAGCACATAGGTTTGGTGGTGCGGGATTAATATACACATTCTCTAGGTGCAGTTACACCTGAGCATTTTGAGCATTTTCCTGAAGCACTTCAGTGTTCAACATCGATATTCCTATTTTATTCAATGGGGCCCAGTCACACCTAAGCATGGGCAGCACAGTGGCTGAATGGTTAGCACTTCCACCTGGCAGTACCAGGATTGTTGGTTCAAATCCCAACCACGGCACCACCTGCCTGGAGTTTGCATGTTCTCCCTGTGCCTGCTTGGGTTTCCTCCGGGTACCCCGGTTTCCTTCCTCCCACACTCCAAAGACATGCTGGTAGGTGAATTGGATCCTGTCTAAATTGGCCCTAGTATGTGTATGTATGAATGTAAGTTAGGGACCTTAGATTGTACACCCTTTGAGGGTTAGGGACTGATGTGAATGTACAATATATATGTAAAATCACTACGTAAATTGATGGCGCTATATAAGTACCAATAATAATAATAATGTCTCTTGAAGATTTCCATTGGCTAAAATAATAATGCTGAAGTCTGAAAATGGCCAAAAAAAATGCATGTACACACAAAAAAACCACTCCCAAACCACACAAGTGTAAACCTAGCCTCATAAAAAGAGCCTGGTCATTGTTAAAACATCAGTGAGGCTCGGTTCACAATCCTTTGACTTTGGATCCGACTTGTGAGGCTCAAAGTTGCAGGAAATGTGAAATTGCATACTTCTCGATGAGAGCCATTCCAATTACTACTACTGAAGTCGCTGCAACTTCAGAAAAGCTTCCTGCACTACTTTGATGCTACTGTGATGGGGCTTGAGTGCCAGAGAGTATAGAGTTGCATCAAAGTCACATCGAAAATTGCGTGACTTTGGAGTCGGCTAGTGTGAACCGAGCCTTACTCTTTTTGTTGCTATTTATGAATGTATAAATATATGTAATATTATCAGTACTACTGCATAGTATCAAACAAAATCACAATTCCAAAGTCAGCCAAAACAAATGGTTTAATAAATTAACAATAAAAGCTTTTCCATTAAGTTATTTTAATGATCTTTCGATGGTAGTAGTCCAGCATAGTGGACTGAAGTGCTGCACTCAACACTGTGCGTAAACTGGACATTATGGGGTTGATTTACTAAAACTGGAGAGTGAAAAATCTGGTGCAGCTCTGCAGCTTCCAGGTTTTTTTTTTTTTTCGTCAAAGCTTAATTAAGCAAGGTGAAGTTAGAATCTGATTGGC